CGGTGTGTGTGTGTGTGTGTGTGTGTGAGATCATGACAGAAGAGTGTTATCACACCACAGCAGCAGCAGCAGCATGAGAATAAGACAGAGGGCAGTGTCTGTCATGCAGTCTGTGTTTGAGACGGACAGCTGGATTAATAACATGCAGACCGATCAGGATCAGACTGAGACGGTCTGTGGCTACGTCTGTGCAATATAGAGGCGTCAGTCCTGTTTTAGAGTTAATATACAGTTACATTCACATAGTGAATAAACAAATTGTCTGTGTTACATTTCCGCACTGTGTGAATAAAACACTACTTTTACATCAGGTCATGTGATCTGAACCGCATACAGTCAGCTAAAATAATCCATAATAACGCTTCCTCCAGTGAAAAAGTGCATCTGCTGTTGTCTCTCGCATCAAAATCCAGCCACACATGTGTTTAGAGCTGTTTAAACGCTGCTTGATCTGTGCAGATTTCTCTCCTGATTCACACCAGAACACTTTTTCACTGGAGGAAGCGTTATTATGGATTATGAACTCGTATTTGAGTTAAAAACGTCTTAATGCTGGATGTGTTTCAGCTTTTGTCTTCTCCAGATGTTAACTGATGGACTGGAGTGCTGTGGATTATTGTGATGTTTTTATCAGCTGTTTGGACTCTCATTTTGACGGCACCCATTCACTGCAGAGCATCCATTGCTGAGCAAACTTCCGGTAAATTACTATACTATTCAGCCTATACTAAAAAAAAAAAGCTTTCTGCTTCAAAATTTCATGTTTAATTCAATGCATTGCTTGCCATTTCCTTGTACTTATCTTTGAACTACACTAGCAATGTCACTGCAGTATAAGTCATTCCTTGTACATGAAAATAAACAGCTGCCTTTATATTTTAGGAAAGAGGTCATTATATCTGTGACATCAAAGAGTTTGAAAACCCCTGGCTTAAGTCACCAAATACCTTTAGTCACCACTCACTGTATTTGTAAGTAGTGCAGTTTTTAGAGTTCTTCCATATGTAACACAGACGTGCTTTCAAAGGGCGAGAGGCTTTCCAGAAAACTCTGCGTGCATTTTAGTTTCACCTCCTGGCTTTATCTTTACAAACACACACACACGCACACAGGCACACACATTCTTTAGTGTTGTCACATTTGCACTCATCAATCACTCTGTGCCTATATGTAGTGTGTGAGGAGGCAGCAGATAACCAGATGACTAATTAGGTGACACACAAGTGCACAACCCTGCAGTGACCTACACAAGCACATATCAGCATCCAGCTGAAAGCAGCGCTTTGATAAATGCATGAGTGAATGCAACACACACACACACACACACACACACAAACAGCACATGCTTTAATGAATAAAGCCGGCGGTAAATAAATATTGGTAGCTGTACGCATTGCAGTGACTCAAATGCACTGCAGCTCACCACAAGCTGATTTTAATGTTGTGTGTAAAACGAAGATTGATGAAATAGAAACATATATACGCCGTAGCGCTCAGTAATAACTAAAGCACTCATATATGCTAACTGCAATATCTCTCCCATTCGTTCGACTTCACAACCGACTGCATTTATCCTAATCAAGCATTTGCATTTTACAAGCTGACAGACGAACTCCGTATGTAAATAAGACAAATTCTGGCACGCAAAAATGGCAGGACTATAAATGCGAGTGGCGAATATTACATTATTCATGTAATAATGAAAACTAGCGAAATGCAAATACAATGTAAAACTCTTCAACAGACACTGATCCAGAAACAGCCAAAATCCTCTCCCTTAAAGGAACAGCTCACCCAAAAATTAAAATTTGCTGAAAATGTACTCACTTCATGGGAACAGATTTGGAGTGTGAATGGGTGCCGTCAAAACGAACGTCCAAACAGCTGATAAAAACATCACAATAATCCACAAGTAATCCACCCATCAGTTAACATCTGGAGAAGACAAAAGCTGAAAC